TGCGCCCGGCTATGAAAAACTTAATTCAACTTGTGTAGATATTAATGAGTGCAACGAAGGAAATGGAACAGTGTGCGCAGATCCTAAAACTTTTTGTCTTAATTTACCAGGCTCTCACAGATGTGATAAATGTGACGTCGCATGTGCAAACTGCGAGGGCCCTTCATCTTCGGACTGTATTTCCTGCTCTTCTGGCTTTCAGATGATGAACGGCCGCTGTGAGGATATAAACGAATGTAGTGCTGACAGTCAATATTGCAGAGAAGATGGAGAGTACTGTCGGAACACAATTGGAAGTTTTGAATGCGCTTGTAAAAGTACTCATATAAAAAAAGGCGACGTATGTGTACCCAAACCAACATCTAAGCAAAAAGAAGCAGGTAAGCAAATCAATATGAGCCCTCAAAAGCCAAGAGGCAAATCAAAAATTATTTGGACAGTGTCATTTACAAAAGAATTCGGAAAATATCTTCTTGCTTTGTTGGCTTTAGGTATTCTTTCCAGAATAGTCAAAGGGCACCCCGCTCCTGTGATACTTCTTTGTTCTATTACACTTTATTATATTTATAATCAAAGCATAAAGCTTGATAAGGTCTTTTCCCGCCAAAAATGATTCATGGAATCGTGTATTCGAGGATTTCTCACTTGAATTGTTGGCTTCCACTAAATGAAATTTTCATTCTCCCTATTTTACCCACTTGCAGAGCCAATACATGAAAATTTGAATGAAAACTCCCCAGGTCCAACTCTACAACCAGATAAAGACGAACTTTAGCGGATAGTTGCCCTTTGTAATCGTAGATGACTTTTAAAGCCTTCCTGTGAGTATTATTCACTTTTATTATTCTGGCTACGCAATTCTAACAACTAACATACGCTTCTCAGTGTTTTGGATCTGTCTTAACTGGTGCAATTTTTGGACGTTTTGCCTAGACTCGCTGCCGTTTCTTTTACTTACACTGTATATACAATGTAGCGAGTCAATATGTTGGCACTATATAAATTATTCCACTGAACACTTTTTAGTATTTTCCTTAGCTGAAATTATAGTCACGCTTTCGACCACTCAACCCCGTCCTCAAGTGCACTAGCTACTGACGAAACGAATTTATAGAACACGCTACGATCCCATATGACTCCACTTTTGCTTCTTTCAATCGATAATTTTTTATTCATATAATCTATTATAGCCTTTGCTGTGATAAATCAGCTCCCATCGCTCATACATAAGCGGTTCTATAATTTATATTATCTGAAATGGATGACAGGTGGCAATCGGAATGGATAAGAATAGTTATCTAAAACTTAGGCCCGGTATTCCCTCTGGAGGATGTCTATCATCTGCTGCCCCAGCCACTTAGAAAAGATTAACTGTTTTTGATCAACCTCGCTGCTTGTTCAATGCATCATGAGACTTAGTATACGTACATATTTCTGCTAATGTCCTTCCGGGCCGGCACCAGTAGCACATTTACTGAAATGGGATTAATTCATAAGTCAAAAGCTGCTCGTCCGACGAGGAAAATTCTTAATCAGTTAGCGCCCGCCTGAAATTTTCGGGGAAATAAAAGCGAAAATCTTTCTTGAACCAACACCTACGAGAAAGGCGGGTTCTGTGGCCGGAATATATTTGCGCATGTAGATAGTGGTGACGGAGTAACGATTGTCAGTGGGTCATAATGTCTAATTTAAGTTATGAACAATTTAGTAGAGGATTCCTTTGCGGATCAAATCGCTTGGCGACTGAAGGGGTAGAGGAGGGCCGATCCAATCACTACGAGACTAGATATTTGAAATAATACCTTTGTTCTAGCTAGAGTATCAATGTTGGGAGACATGGTTGATCTCTTTGTTTGTATTCAAATCAGCAGAAAGTTGGGGATATAAAAATATATTGGACCATAATTGTGTAAATTAGGAGCGCTCAATTTCTCCCAAGAAAACACGCTTGTCGCTCCCTGCTGATAGGAGTATGGGTTCGACCGGATGAAATGCAATTTCGTTTACGGATGCAGAATGGCCTGGTAGTTTATAAATCAGTTGCTGGGACGCAACATCCCATACATAGACGTAGCGGTCACCACTGCCACAGGTAACTCGTCTATTGTCCGGGGACCAGGCACAACGCAACAAATTCTTCTCGAAAGTGTGTTGGTGACCCTGGAAGACCTGAATAAATATAAAAGCCCTGAGATTAGTTGTCGACAAAATTAAATAAGTAAGTAGGGTCCTTCGTCATTACAAGCCTAAATTTGAATTCAGGATGAGTGATTGTTAATCTAAGAGAGGAAGAAGAGGACGAAAGATGAAGCCTGATAGGCAATCATTCAAGATTCAAATAGTCTTAGCGTATATATTGGGAAGACTAGAAATTAAGGAGCTGGTGTATACAGAAGAAAAATACTAGACAGTTACAATGTAAAAGCAATTTATATATATATGGATATAGAATGGAAATATTAGACAGCCAAAAAGCTAGGTCGAACACTTCGATTATTTTATGAGATTAGCATTTACCTGCTTAATGGTAGGTTAACAATGACTTACTCGAACACATCTCTCAGTGGGTGCATATGGCCGGACATCCCACAACCTTAGTGTGTTGTCCATTGCATTAGACAGTAAATGGCACCCATCAGGACTGAGGGAAAGTCCAGTAACTGTGTCAGTGTGACCAGCTAACCTCATGGAGACGTCAGCGGCTCGCAAGTCCCAACCCTTGACGATATTATCGATGCCACCAGAAAAAATAACTTCCGCTGTGTCATTGAAAGTTACTGATAAAACCTACATTAGGTAGAGACATGCAATTAGTTTCACAAATTAATTACAAATCAGCGAATAAGTTATTTCCAACCTGATAGGTATTTTGAAATGTTTGTGCGGGCGTCCTTTTGCGGCGATCCCAAAGTCGGATTGTGCCATCATCTGAACCGGAACATATCAATTGAGGCCCGCGTCGAGCAACATGGCATGCATTTACAAAATTGGTATGCCCCCTAATTTTTTTTATTCGTTGACAGGACTCCATATCCCACAATGCTATCGTTTTATCTGTGCTGGCAGTGTAAAGGGTGTCCCCGTCTGTAGAAAAATGGAGATCAACAATTGCGCCCCCATGACCTATTGAAATAAAAAGCTATGGAGCATAAAGTGGTGACAAAATCTCATAGTAAAATAGTAATGGGCATGGATACGGGGAAAGTAAAGGCCAAAAGGCTAATTATTTATTGAGTCAATCGTAAGGCAAACGCGTCCATATTAACCAGAAAAATTGATATAAAACGGCTCAAGAAACATATAAAGCAAGTTATAGTAAGAATAAAACAAAGAAAATGTGCGCACTAAATGTACGTACCTGGCATTGAAGCTATACACTGGCATTCCCCATAAGTCTCCCATATCATAATTTGTCGGTCAAAACCAGCTGTCGCTATAAAGGAGCCATCAATAGGATAGAACTTTGCACAATAGACTTCACTATCGTGACCAGAAAGTAGCATATTGGGGGACATTAAACTTGATGTGCGGGGCATGCTACCGGCCAATCCAGAAGGTATTATACTGGATTTATTTAGATGCACAGGAACTATAGGAAAGTTAACACTGTCCATTTTAGCTTTTTTAGCAGGGACTGGTACCATGGACATCGTGGAAACCCCAGCTAGGGGTCTCTTAAAATCCATAGTGTATAAGAATCAAGCAGAAATTTAGAAACGGCCGACAACAAGCTAGTTATTACAAACACAGTTTTAAAAACAATAATAAATATACAATTAATTAATTCACAAATGTCCTAAACTATAATTTTATTAATAAAATAAGAAAGTAAGTAATTAATATATGTTC